TCAGTTTGGTGGCCAGCCATAAGTACGCACACTGCAGAAATAGGTCAGTTTGGTGGCCAGCCATAAGTACGCACACTGCAGAAATAGGTCAGTTTGGTGGTCAGCCATAAGTACGCACACTGCAGAAACGGGTCAGTTTGGTGGTCAGCCATAAGTACGCACACTGCAGAAATAGGTCAGTTTGGTGGCCAGCCATAAGTACGCACACTGCAAAAACAGGTCAGTTTGGTGGCCAGCCATAAGTACGCACACTGCAGAAATAGGTCAGTTTGGTGGTCAGTCATAAGTATGCACACTGCAAAAATAGTGTAAACATGTAAGTTTTTTGTGGAGCATAGATCAACTCAGAAAAAAGAGCCACTTAGACCAACACCCTTACCTAAAGATCCATGGCAAAAGGCCACAGCTGATTTGTTTGAACCCGAATTACCTCATCACTCCTAATCACTGCAGAAATATCAAAACAGCCCAGCTACCTACCACCACAAGCCAGCAGGTCATCACACAACATAAGCCATCCCCCTGCAACCGATGACTGACAACGCTATGCGGTTTACACCGGCCGAATTCCAGGAATTCAGACAGTAGTATGGTTTTACTCATACCACCTCAAGCGAATGGGACAGCTGAGAGGGCTGTACAAACAGCCAAGTGCATCCTCAAGCAACCGGATCCTCATCTTGTTCTGATGTGTTATCGTGCGTAAGTGCAACTGGAACAGGTCCAGCACAACTTATGACTGAATGTCAGATCAAAATGATCCTCCCTACACTGGATGTGAAGCTGCAGCCTAAGCACATCAGCCATGAGCAAGTACTTCAGAGGGACAGCAGACTTAAAGAAGCCTACCAGTTCTTCTTTAACCAGAGTCACCTTCTCCAGAAACCCCAGATCAGCAGGATGGAGGTGATGCAGAACCAACTGGAGAGACCAACCCACCAGCTCAGCCTGAGATCCACTCAACTACAAACACTCCACCAATCGCTTCTGGGCCGCCTGGAACTCCTAAAGCAGGGAAACGTACCTTGAGAGGTAGAGAGATTAAAACCCCTCTCAGGTTCAAACACACCTAGAAGGGGAGACCTACTTTCAAATGTCCCTTCTGTTCTGTAAAGTGGAAAGACAAAAAAGTTGAGGTACAGGAACATAATCATAAAAAACCTTTTTTGTTTGTGTTTGAAAATGCCAGGTTTCTTAGTGTTCAACAGCCTGGAGGAAATGTTAGTTGGTGGGGGGGGGGGGGGGGGGGGGGGGCTGACAGAACATTCTTTATCTTTTGTCTTTGGAAAAAGGGAGATGTAGTGATGCCTAATTATCATCTTAATCTATCTGGGCTCGACTGATTGATCACAGTATTTTATGTGACATCACGCTGAGTTACCCACACTTTACTAAAACTGTGGTATGTAATTGACTCGCGGACTGCGGTTATTCTGTGTTGTCGATCTGTTAATAAATAGTGTCTTCAGCAATGAGCTCTGGCAGACAGATTTTTTTTCCTAACAAGATATTCAATAAATCCCCTGAATTTACTTCTACTGCTGTATAATTGTAAGAGAACATGCTGTCTCCTAGTCACTTTTATGTCTGTTGTGTTTGTGCCAATATTTAATTTAGGAAATTCAGGCTGTGTTTGGAAGAGATGACAGGGTGGAGCAGAGTGACAGGGGCAGCATAGGGCACCCCAAGGTGAGGTCATTTTCACACAGTGCAGGGCCTGAAATTTGTGGCAGGATCTTGTGATTTGTGCACATATAATTTTTATTTTAAACACATTTCATACGGAGAATGATGGCACACCTAAAAAGCAGGGCAAGAATTTGTACGTCATGTTTTCTCATTTAAACTCATTATACAGTAAGAAAATGGCTTAATGTGGCACGTTAAAAAAAATCTACCCCTAAGCATGTAATGGGGGGGTTTGATGAAAGCACTTTGATGAAAGGCTTCACCTAGGTTTTAGAAAGACGTGTATTTATTATTAATGAGATGAACTGCACCCTGTTTAGTAGGTTCATATATTATTGACTTGTCACCTAGTCAGGTATAGCGCAAAGAGCAGGAGAAAGCGCAAATGCAAAGAACAGAGAAGAGATTGCTGCTGGCAGCAAAAGAGGTGAGAATGGTGTGTCAAGCATGTGAAAAAGTGTTTAAACTGTTAGTTTTGGTGATGTTTTGTGTGCCGTAGGGAAAGGGCCAACACGGTAGGGAAGCCAGCATTAATAGGGACAGCTTCAGCAACACAAAAACACTGGTTGAAATTGCTGATCTGAGCCAAACATTAACTGACAAAGAAATAAACAGTCAGTAGGTTCCTCTGTACAACTCCACAACTCCAAACACTGTGCAGAAGATATCACCAGGGTGCTCATGCTCGTATCTTCAGTGTAGTGATACGTTTGGTGTGTGGAGTTTGGTAGAAGAATATAGTTCCTACATTAAACTGCTTACTACAAAGTCTGTGGATTATCTTGAGTAACCAGGTCATAATTTCTGGTAGGAGACATTGCTGTTGAATTTTTCAAATGTATCTTTTGGGCGCTTTAATCACCACAGAAAGAACGCCATTCACTTCCATTATATTCGAGAGAAGCGCGACATTTCTATGGCCGATATCTTCATAACTAGGCAACTCCCAGCAGGGCAACCTAGATGGATAGATAGCACTAAAGCCCTATTGAAATATATCTTTTTCAGTTCTGGGATGAACTGCCCCTTTAAGTTTTCCTCACTGAAGATCCTCCCACACCGGGTGCACTGGTAGGGCCTCTCGCCTGTGTAAGTCCACTGGTGTCTCATTAGTTATGATGATTGACCAAACATCTTCCTGCTCTCTGAGCAGTGATAGGGCATCTCTCCTATGTGGGTTTCCTACTTCACTGAACTGCTTCCCCCACTTAAGAAAGATATGGCTTTTCTCCCATGTCAATCCACTGGTGTTTTTAGTCTCCTATCCCAACATTTGTTTTTCATATTGGGAGCACTGGTAACGGATCACCCCTGTGTAAGTCTGTGTGACTTTAGGTCTCCAAAGCGGGGAAGACTTTTCCCAAAATGGGAACACTAGCAGGGTTATTCCCCAGTGTGAGTTTGTTGGTGTGTCTTAAGATCTCTTAATCGAATAAAAGTCTTTGCACAATGAGAACAGTGATAAGGCCTTTCTCCTGTGTGAGTTCGCTGGTGTGCTCTTAGACTGCTTGACTGGCTGAAGCTCTTCCCACACTGGGAGCACTGGTAGGGCCTCTCCCCTGTGTGAGTCAGCTGATGAATCTTTACATATTCTAAACGACCAAAACTTCTTCCACACTTAGAGCAATGATAGGGTTTTTCTCCTGAGTGAGTCAACTGGTGTGACTTCAGGTAGCGTAGGAGACGGAAACTCTTCCCACACTGGGAGCACTGGTAGGGCATCTCACTTGTGTGAGTCTGTTGGTGTCTCTTCAGTTCTGATGACTGACCAAACGTCTTCCTGCACTCTGAGCAGTGGTAGGGCCTCTCCCCAGTGTGGATACGCTGATGAGCTTTTAGGTTTCCTACTTCACTGAACCGCTTCCCACACTGAAAGCAGAGATATGGCTTTTCTCCTGTGTGAGTACGCTGGTGTTTCTTTAAATCTTTTAATAAAGAGAAGCTCTTCCCACACTGGGAGCACTGATGTGGCCTCTCCCCTGTGTGAATTCGCTGGTGTTTTCTTAAGTCTCCTACCCGAACAAAGGTTTTTTCACACTGGGAGCACTGGAAGGGCCTCTCCCCTGTGTGTGCCTGCTGGTGTGACTTTAGGTTTCTTAAGCAGGTGAAACTGTTCCCACACTGGGAGCACTGGTAAGGCCTCTCCCCTGTGTGAGTCTTCTGGTGTGACTTTAGGTTCCTTAAGCAGGTAAATCTATTCCCACACTGGGAGCACTGGTATGGTCTTTCCCCGGTGTGAATTTGCTGGTGTGTCTTAAGATCCCTTAATTGAATAAAAGTCTTTGCACACTGGGAGCACTGGTAAGGCCTCTCTCCTGTGTGAGTTCGTTGGTGTGCCTTTAAATTGCCTAACTGACTGAAACTCTTACCACATTCTGAGCAGTGATAAGGCTTTTCTCCTGTGTGAGTTCGTTGATGTGTCTTTAAGCCAACTAAGTGGCTAAAACTTTTTCCACACTCTGAGCACTGGTAGGGCCTCTCTCCTGTGTGAGTCCGCTGGTGCGTCTGTAGGACTCTCAGTTCAGTGAAGGTCTTTCCACACTCTGAGCAATGGTGTGGCCTCTCTCCTGTGTGAGTCCGCTGATGTGTCTTCAGGTTCCCTATCTGACTGAATCTTTTCTCACAGTGAGAGCACTGGTAGGGCCTCTCCCCCGTGTGAGTCCTTTGATGAACTTTCAGGCTAATTGAATGTCTGAAGCTCTTTCCACATTCGGAACATTTGTAGGGCTTCTCATCTGTATGACTCTGCTTGTGCTTCTTTAATTCTTCAACGCATGTGAACCTGTGACCACACTGGGAGCAGAGGTGGGGTTTCTCTACTATGTGACCTTGTTGGTGTGTTTTTAGGTCTTTGAACCAAATGAAGCTCTTCCCACACTGGGAACAATGATAGTTCTTCTCTATTCCATGAGTTAGCATATGCCTTTTTAAGTCACCTGACTGAGTGAAATTTTTCCCACAATGCGAGCACTGATGGGGTTTCTCACCTGTGTGAGTCCGCTGGTGCATCTTTAGGCTTCCTACCTGACTGAAACGCTTCCCACACTGGGAGCACTGGTAGGGCCTCTCCCCTGTGTGAGTCCGCTCATGTGCTTTTAGGGTTCCAACTTGACTGAAGCTCTTTCCACAGTGGGAGCACTGGTTGGGCTTCCCACCAGTATGACTTTGCTCATGCATCTTTAGTTCTTCAATGCCTGTGAATCTATGATCACACTGGGAGCAGAGGTAGGGTTTCTCTACTATGTGACCTTGTTTGTGTGTTTTTAGGTCTTTGGACCAAGTGAAGCTCTTCCCACACTGTGAACAGTGATAGGGTTTCTCTATACCATGAGTCCGCATATGCCTTTTTAAGTCGCCTGACTGAGTGAAATTTTTCTCACAATGTGAACACTGATGCGGTCTCTCACCTGTGTGAGTTCGCTGGTGCACCTTTAGGCTTCCTACTTGATTGAAACTCTTCTCACACTGGGAGCACTGGTAGGGCCTCTCCCCTGTATGACTCAGCTGGTGTGCTTTTAGGTTTCTTAAAGTAGTGAAAGTCTTCCCACAAGGGGAACAGCAATGAACTTTCAGTATCACAGCAGAGCCAAGCTCCTCAGGGTGGGATTTCTTCACGTGTCTCTGGAGGCAAGTCTCTGATGTGTAGGACGAGGAACAGTGAGAACAGAGGAACTTCTTCACTCTCCTCCCTGGTATGAGAGCTTGGACTGAAAAATGAGGCATGGAAAAGAGCCATGGAAATAGGTTTGGAAATGGGTAATGAGAACAATAGTGATGGATTCATGAGAAATTAAGTCCATAGCTGCCAATACCAAGAAACTAATAATTCAGTAACAGACTGTGGAACAACATGCGGAATTTCTTTGAAGCTGAAAAATGTTTCTATAGTCACCTGGGTTAGGAGGTCTGACACACCCTCTTCTTGTTCTCCGTCTCCCTTCAGTATCGTCTACCTGAAGAGGGACAGTCATCTTCTCCTCAGTCACGTCCTGAAACACTGTTTCTTCTTTCACCTCCCCATTAAAGACGGGACACACTGTACTCTCTTCTTTCTGAGGAAAAGAGAACAGAGTCAATAAAATTCTTCTGTAAAGAGTTCAACTGGTCTATGGGACTGAAAGCAACATGTTTCAGCATCACACAAAGAAGCAGGGCCAGATCTACCAATGTCTTTACCAGGTATCATACAGGACACATTTTTCCTGACTGATACTGAACACAAGCTGCCCTCAAGCTGCTGCTCTCTCTCCACTCCTAATCCATCTAAGCAGCTCACTGCTGAAGGTACTACAGGGTAAAAGCACAGGTGACATGACAGCAGGCCTGTGAAGGTGTTTAGATACAGATTCACTGTCATATTTACATGACTGAAGGCAGGACACACAGACTGTAAAATCCCAGACGACTTCAGAAAGGTCAAGGTTCATGCAGTTGCTTGGATACTGCTAATCAATGCAGTAGTGGCCACTTGTTTCAAGAGTGTAACTATTACACCTGTACACAATAAGTCTAGATCCATTTCAGTTTAAATGCAGAGCTTATCGCTCCACTGAGGATGCAATATCCACTACACTCCATCTCATTCTGACCCATTTTGAAAACTCAAACAACTATGCCAGAATCCTCATCATCGACTTCAGCTCAGCTTTTAATAATCGTATCCCAACAGCTGATAGAGAAGCTTGCAACTGCAACTGAATTCTGGACTTCCTGATGCTGAGGCAGCAGAAAGGCAGAGTTGGCAACCACATATCAAGACCCACTTCAGTGAGCATAGGCTCACCTCAGGTCTATGTCCTAACCCATGACTGCATTGCCAGATTTAGCTCCAACCACATCATCAAGTTTGCTATCGACACCAAAGTGGTGGGTCTCATCAATAATGGAGACAAGTCAGCATATAGGATAGAAGTGGAGCAGCTGAAGGCATGGTGCAAGAACCATGATCTCGCACTCAAGCTCAAGAAGACCAAGGAGATGACCATCGAATTCAGGAGAGCTTGCTTGCGATAGCATCCTCCACTGCGTTTCCTTGGGTGCGCTTCCCAATAAAGATCAATCTTAGTGAATAATGAGCAAAATAACAAATGATGTAGGTAAAGAATGAGTGAAATTTGCAAGTGTTTCCCTAAAGCCTTTATGATTCCAGATTTAACAAACAAACTTAAAGTAGTTCTTTGTTGGCTCCTCCCCAGCCTCTGTGTGAGAAAGTACAGATTATTAATAACAGGAACATCAGGTACATGTACTTCAATAGTGAGATGTATGTTGTATTATTGTCATGTCACATTTGTGAATGCAAAAAAGACTAATTTCAAAACAATAACAAAATATGTGAAAGCACACGAAGTTAAGACCAACGTATACATACAAATACACAAAAAAATTACAAAGAAATCTAATCTAATCCAACATGTGAGTGCAGAAGGCAGCTGGGCCCCACACCAGCAGCGCTGCATTTCACCTCGTCAGGGCTGCTGTGCCCGGCCCCGTCCACATCCGATATGAGGACGTCCTGTGCTTCCTCCTTCACATCTGCCACACTTAGCTGGGGAGGTTTCTGGTCCATGCTGAAGCTGGCCACAGCCCTGCAGGGGGACGTCTGTGAGCAGAAAGGGAACGAAGAACATGCTTTGAACCTGTTCATTTGCCAGAATCATGATACAGACGATATATCTGTCCTGCAGCATCAGACACTGAGCTCTCAGCTCTGCTCTAACTGGGTCGCTGCTCTGTTAGTAAACGCTTTTCATCTCCTCTGTCTGTGGTCCTGGATACAGCTAAAAAGCAGAAACTTGGTTTGACGTCCACAGCAAACTAAAAACACTCAAGTCGTACCTAGATATTATTCTTCAAATGCACTAAATGAACCAGCTTCCCTAAAACAATAACAACATAGATGCTGTGGGAACAACAATATAGGTCTTTTCCTTGGACAGCACCATCACCCCCCCTCCATCTAATGCCTACTCCTCCCCCACCCCCAACCTCTATAAGATCTAGCCCCCCCCCCTTTATGCTCCTCCCAAAAAATTTTTATCAAAAGCCTAAATTTGGCTTGTCTCAATGTAATCAGGTTCACCAGTGTACATGCGTCTCTGGCTATCTTCTCACGTGCCACCATTAAGTGAAACTGCTTCAATTATAGTGGGATTTATCTAAAGATTTGAGCAGTTCCAGATCTCAGGCAGGAGGAGGGGTCATAATGTAAAATTGCCCCTTCATTATAGTACTGTGGCCCCTCATCATTCCATTGCAGTTTATCTACCACAAGGCTATACTCGTTATTTTTTTTAATTCTGTGGTTCTGATTCACATCCATCTTGTAACGCCGGGTGCACACTTTATTTGCGCCTTGATAAAGGCAAACAGCGATCATGTACGCAGATCAGAACACATCCCTACAGTTGACAATGTTAAGTTCTAGTAGTGATGTGTCTGGCACTGTGTCAATGGCTGGCACTGCAGCTCAATAGAAGGGACAATACCTAACCACCGACATTCCCCAGCATGTTACATGTAATTGTAACAATATGTTACAATTACAGAAATCTAAAACATGAATATAAACCACCAAATTAATTACAGTCTGACAGCCGCAAAACATGCTGGGATGGGTCGCTTAGTGAGTCCGCAGCAGCTTACCGGTCCCAAAACCATATGTATTCCCAACCCAACAATCTAACAAATCCATTCTAACAAGGGAAGCTTTAATCAAATGTTCAAACTGGCTGCTAATTCAAATGCTCTACAGGGGAAGATCTAAGGGGTCAACCCTGATTAGAGCCGTCCTGATTATTTGATTAAACTGGATTACTTGATTATTAAAGGCAGCAATTAAAATTTTCCTTGTCAATTACTCGGTAATATGGCGGAAAGAATAGACAGCATAGCATAGTGAAATAGCCATTTGGCTGAACATCCAGACCTGTTAGAATCTTATATACCTGGATCATGTCCCCCATAAGAACATAAGAAATTTACAAACGAGAGGAGGCCATTCGGTCCATCAAGCTCATTTGAGGAGAACTTAACTAACAGCTGGTATGAGGGTCCAAATGAAGAGCCAAAGCATCAGTTGTGTGGAAACACTTCCCATTGAATGCAAATGAAACTGCAGTCGTCTGTCAGTATTTCAAAGCAGAACTTTTTCACCATGGCATGACTGCAATGCAAATACATCTTAAAATAAAACAGTTTGACAGACTCACCCAATAAGAAAATGGGAGATTAGCCATAGGTATGTGCTATTTGGCAAAATAATCACTGCTAAAATGAAAGTTAACCTGTCGCTTAGTCACACCACCTTACATAATGCAGTCCATAATAACCATATAATAGTATCTTTTTTTTTTTTTTTTGTGAATGTATTGTGTGTTGGTGCTGAATGTTTTTGGTAAAAAAAAATCACATTGTGATATCTGACATTTTTAGTATTTAGGAGTTAAAAGTGAACTATATACCCACATAGAACTTACCATCTACCAGCAGAGTCTGTTGCATTGGTTGGTGGTGTTGAGACACAAAGCAGATGCCGACAAATCATTTGTTTTTGCTCAATACTGCCTCCTACTGCCTCCATTGAATACAAAATATTTTTTATACCGCCCTAGACGCATGTCTTTTCGTGATCAGTTCTTGCCCACTTTTCTCCTATTCGATCATTGTTTAATTTCTCACAAATATGTTACATGGTCTATGAGTGAGTCCAACAGTATATTAGATAATCTGGAACCACCATTAAAATTGCAAAGCTTGCTAAGTTTTGTTTCCTATCACTGAGTAAAAATATTTTAGTGTAACTTATTGATAGTTTAAACCCAGCAGACTATCACAATCCTTGAAATGTGACAATTGCATGTGCATTAAGTGTCATGTCGATAATAGCACTGTTTTGTTTATGTGGAGTTTGCATGTTCACTCTGTGTATGCATGGCCTTTCGGCGCATTCTCCAGTTTCGTTCCACTGTCCAAACATGCAACTTACTGTAAGTGAATTGGAGTGCTTAAATTGCCTGTATTTGTGACTAAGCGTGCTCCCTGCAATGGCTGTCTGGTTACTGCCTTGTGCCAATTGCAATGATTATGTTATGTATAAACGATTATTCGACAAATCGTCAGATTAATCAGTACATTACTCGATTATTGATATAATCAATAATCGATAGTGACAGCCCTACCCTTGATGGCACTCAGCATTGATAAATCTGCCCGATTGACCGTCAGTACGGATGTGGATTATTGCAGTTACATCATTTTTGTTTTTTCATTCTCTCATTTCTCTTTTGGTTAATAATAAATAATAATACCCAGGTTACCCCCCACAAATATAACTTGCCCCTAATGGCCATCCCAATCAAAATTTTCTTCAGGCACCACCCCTAAGTTTGTGCAGACAGATACTAAAATGTTGATTCTTTCGATATGAATGTTTAATTTTGAGAATTGATTCTTACGTTAAAAAATATGAATTTATTACCTGGTAAGTTCAATGCTTGTATTATTACAATAACAGGACATTAACTCCTACCAGTCAGTACCACTTATAGGTGGGAGAATGGAAGGACAGGGGACTTTCAGGGACCCGTGGACACCCCCCTCTCGGCAAATTTCAGTTCAATTAAATTCTTTATTACTGTCATTGTACATCAGCACAACGAGTGTGGTAGAAATTTCACTGAAGTCGATTGTTTAAGAGCCTGACAACACTTCATAACCGCAAAGCTTTGGCGCAACAGACACTCAGCAGTCTTTCATGCGTCTTGTGACCTGTTCTCTGAGCAACAATGGCATACATCTTTTATAACAAAAAAGCAACAGTTTACAGACAGTCTGAGGAGGGGCTGCATGGTATCCTTGGACACCAGCTGCTTCTGCTTACAGGGGCCTGTTATCAGTTCGAGGTAAAGTCAACCTGTTAGAAGCCCATTGTTCTTATGGTTTCCCAACCCCACCTTGACAGGCTGTTTTCAGTTACTTTCTTCATCTTCCCTTTAAAGTGAAAACCCATTACTTAAGCCAGCTTGCATTATTACTTTACATGTTCCGTATAATAACTATTTCAAAGCAGAAATTAATCATTATAATCATTGTAGTTAAATCAAGTGTCATTATGAATTTCTTTGGTAATTAGTGATTGGAATTACAATTGTATCTGCATTATCATAGATTTTCTACCACACGAGACTTAGTAACTTTCTAAACGGTGCAAAGACACAAGACAAAACGTAATATCTAAATCAGGGGTGGCCAATCTTATCCGCAAAGGGCCGGTGTGTTTGCGGGTTTTCGCTGCAGCTCCCTAATTATATTACTAAATAGAGGATGATTGGCTGAAGAGTCCTCACACCTGGGTTTGAACAGCTGACCTACAGGTTATCCCAAAAATCTGCATACACACCGGCCCTTTGTGGATAAGATTACCCACCCCTGATCTAAATAATACGTACAAAATGGCAAATAAATATGTGAAAAATACAAATGTGATAAATAGTATGTGGTGGTGCGCGGGGGATATGCGTGAGAGTCCTTTATTGTCTGGTTTAGCTTTTATTCAACCCCGCAAAAATAATCCACTCATCCATCCATTTTCCAAAGCCCCAAAAAGCTTGGGTCGGCACCGAATATCGGCATCGGGATACCAACCTTAGTCTTATTTGCTATCGATTCAACAATAAAATCAGTGGTATCACCCATCCATAATATTCATTGGACATCCCTCATATCCTTTCCTGCTGTTTTTTGTATCCTTTCTGCTACTCCACTGGCGAGACTTAACGATCATATCGACGAATTACGTCATACGTTCGACGCCATGACGTTGCACCAGCTGCAGCTGAGCTTGACGACGCCCGTTTTTATTGACTATTTCTTCGACGACGTTGGATTGCACGTGTCAGAAATTCGTCGTTTTAATCTGTATTATCAAGTATTAGTGAAAATGAAACGCAGTTATGCAATTCCATATACTTTTATTACTATTAACCGGGCTTCTGTACGCTTCTGTAGGGCTGGCAACTCACGCATCTGGCGTAACACACACGCTTTCAGACTCACGCTCCCGCAAGATCTCGTCTTATGACGAATCTATATTATTCCATTATAAACCTAAAATTAGCTACATCAAAAGCGCTAGGGTAGTTTGCAAATATTACAAACTATTTAAGGTAATGAAACGGTTACATACACGTAAAAGCGTGTGCAGACTTGTCTGGAAAATTTCACATCAGCCAGCTGACCAGAGCTTCTTGCTTCTGCGTTTTAATAATGGCCTACAATTATCAAAATTGGTGACGTTTTTATTCATTTAAACCTAAAATATCTCTGTACAAATAACTAAGCCAGGTATAATAATGAGCAAAAGCTTGAACGTTTTTGAAAGCATATATGCAATAATTAAATGTTGTCAAAACGCCGTAGCCCTAAAATCTAACTAGTCATTTGCATCGTTAATATTTCAAAGGTGTAAAAATACCTAAAATGGTCTTCATTGCTGAAAACCACTTAATTAAAAAAATACAATTTTTGAAATTTGCAATTGTGTGTGTGTACACACACACCCAACTTGCGCCGGGTTTCTCTTCTCTCTCCGTTTACAGAGATCCAGTATTGCTAAATGGCAACCCTAAATAGCCTACATTGTGTGATTATGTGTGTGACCTGTGACGGACTGGCACCCTGCCTAGGATCGGCTTCAGCGCCCCTACACCTGCGTCCCTGAGCAGGATAAGCGGCCGGAAGATGGACAGCATGCCAAATGAATACCAAGGCTGGCCAATAGAGGGCGTCCGTGTAGCAACATTAACTTATATTTACCTCAGGATTAAGTTTTAAGCTATAGTATAATGCAGTCTGTCGTTTGTAGTAAGTTAGTATTTGAGAATGACACTGACTTATTCGTGAGTTGAAAAACAAAACGCAAACTTTATGTGTAATGTTTGTGGAGAATGGAAATTAGAAGAATACTGAATAACGAACTTCTTTGGAAAGAAACCATTTGGATGTACATTTTATTCATTCATCAATATAAAGTGGAAATCGCTTATAGTGATCACGTCTGTCTGGGTGAAACTGATCACTATAAACGGGTTATCATTAGCATAGACATAGATTTAGGGGGGACAGGCGGACACATATTTGTTACATGAATATAAGGTAACAAAACGAATAGCATCGCTATTTACTTGATTTTAAAATTTTCAAAATATACTATTTTAAATGCTTTTTCAAATTACAGTATTATACAAATTGAACTGAACTGTGTATAATTCAAATATTCAATTTTATTCATACAATGTATTTTCACAATGTTACGTTGTCTCAAAGAACTTTTTTTGTAGTTTCGCTGCTGCATCCCGGTGGCTCATTTTTGGTGGTTTGATAAATATATATTTGAGAGAAAATGACTTTTTTTTCCTCTCATGTTTTCTGTGCACGCATTAGCCTCAGGCAGCTAGCCAGAAGCAGACGGGTTACCACAAGGCAAAGTAGGGCTATCAAAGTAAAAAAAAAAATACTGCAGTTTTAATTTTATCCACATGTTGTCTTGTTTAAAAAGACCCAAAATCAACACTGAGCGGACTACTGGATTACTATAAGCAAATTATTTAAACAGTATTTGTACAGGAATGATTCTATGCTAAGCTTTTTGATCCATATAAGTGGATGATCAGTATAACCGTGATCACTCCAAGTGATTTCCACTGTATTTATAATTTACCGAGCGCTACTGTATGGGAAGTGGATGATGCATTTGTAATTACCTTTCCCATTACTGTAGACCAGGGGTGTCAAATCCCAGTCCTGGAGTGCCGGAGCCCTGTGTAACTTAGTTCTTTCCCTGTTCCACCACAAATGATTAAGCTCAAGAGTGACGTGGTAATTAGCATGAGTTGAATCAGGTGAGTTAAATTAGGGGAAACCCAAAAATATGCAGGGCTCTGGCCCCCCAGGACTGGAATTTGACACCCGTGCTGTAGACTGTTAGATTGTCTGTCAGAATGCAATTCAACTTAAAACCAGATATTAACCAAAACTGGAAACAAACTGCATGAGATCATGAAGGGATAAACTACATCAGCCTATAACAGGACATGAAGCACATGGACAGCCTGAGTGTGATTCCCACCCAGGGATCAGGTATTCCTGGAGGACTGTAGGGGGGGGGCAGTAGTTAAGGCCTCACATGTATATTATTGATATTACCAGGGCTTTACCATCAATGCCCAGTTTGACCAATAATAAACATGACTACTCCTGGTCCCATTCAGATACCCCAGCAGGACTCTGAGCATAACCCATCCAGCCTGCAAACCCCCCTGATTCAGAGAGGGGCTTCCAGCAGCCTGAACCAGCCTCTGCTACAGCAGCATTTCATCATGTGTCAGCATTAGGGTCCCTTCCGGCAGCTTCTCTCTGCCTGCATGCGGTACCTGCCCTGTAGGCGCTGTCAAACTGTGGTCGAGTCCCTTCTCAGTACCCCTACCTGGGTCATAAGGAGCAGCATGGACCACGGCAGCTGTATCCACACTGTAAGTGTACCCAGGGAGCTCACCACAGAAATGTCTATAAAGCAAACTGTCCATTACTGATACCATCACTGCTTCCCCTGTACTTGTGATTGACAGAGGTTCTTCCCACAGTGGGAGCACTGGCAGGGCTTTTCACATCTGAGATACTGCTGGTGCATCTTTTTCTCACACAGTTTTCACTAGGAGCAGAGGTAGGGTTTTCCTACTGCGTGACCTTGTTGATGTGTTTTTAGGTCTTTGAACCAAATGAAGCTCATCCCACACTGTGAACAATGATATGGCTTCTCTATACCATGAGTTAGCATATGCCTTTTTAAGTCACCTGACTGAGTGAAATTTTTGCCACAATGTGAGCACTGATGGGGTCTCTCCCCTGTGTGAATCCGCTGGTGCATCTGTAGGTGTCCTAACTGACTGAAGCTGTTCCCACACTGGGAGCAGTGGTAGGGCTTCTGGCCAGTGTGAATGTGCTGGTGCTTGTTTAAGGCTCCTAAATGATTGAAGCTCTTCTCGCACTGGGAGCACTGGTAGGGCCTCTCTCTTTTGTGAGTTCGCTGGTGTGCCTTCAGGTTGCTTGACTGACTAAAACTCTTACCACATTGTGAGCAGTGATAAGGCTTTTCTCCTGTGTGAGTTCGTTGATGTGTTTTTAAGTCACTTAATTGGCTAAAACTCTTTGCACACTCTGAGCACTGATAGGGCCTCACCCCTGTGTGAATCCGCTGGTGTTTCTTTAGGGCTCCTAAATGATTGAAGGTCTTCCCACACTGGGAGCACTGGTAGGGCCTCTCCCCTGTATGAATCCACTGGTGGATCTTTAGGGCTCCTAATTGACTGAAGCTCTTCCCACAGTCGGAACACTGGTAGGGCCTCTCCCCCGTGTGAATCCTCTGGTGTGTTCGTAAGTGTCCTAGTTGACTGAAGCTGTTCCCACACTGGGAGCACTGGTAGGGCTTTTTGCCTGTGTGAATTTGCTGGTGCTTGTTTAGGGCTCCTAAATGATTGAAACTCTTTTCACACTGGGAGCACTTGTAGGGCTTCTCTCCTGTGTGAGTTCGCTGATGTGCCTTTAGGTTACCTGACTGACTGAAACTCTTACCACATTGTGAGCAGTGATATGGCTTTTCTCCTGTGTGAGTTCGTTGATGTGTCTTTAAGTCACTTAATTGGCTAAAACTCTTTGCACACTCTGAGCACTGGTAGGGCTTCTCGCCTGTGTGAATTTGTTGATGCTTCTTCAGATCTCCTGCATGACTAAATCTTTTCCCACAATGGGAGCACCAATGAGCTTTCAGTATCACACTGGGGTCAAACTTCTCAGGGTGGGATTTCTTGATGTGCCTGTGAAGGTAAGTCTCCAACGTGTAGGATGAGGGACAGTGAGGACAGGGGAACTTGTTCACTCTCCGCCCTGGTATGAGAGCTTGGTCTGAATAGTGAGGCATGGAGAAGAGCAAATATATGTTTAGAAATGGGTAATGGGAACAAAAGTGATGGATTCAGAGGAAATATATCCATAGCAGCAAAGACTAAAACAAAGAATTGAGTAACATACAGCACTAGATATCTGAGGGATGAAGCATGCAGAATTTTCTGGAAGCTGATAGATGTTTCTATAGTCACCTGGGTTTGGAGGTCTGACACTCCCAGCCAGCTTCTCCTCAGTCACGTCCTGAAACACTGTTTCTTCTTTCACCTCCCCAATAAGGACAGGACACACTGTACTCTCTGCTTTCTGAGGAAAAGAGAACAGAGTCAATAAAATTCTTCTGTAAAGAGTTCAACTGGTCTATGGGACTGAAAGCAACATGTTTCAGCATCACACAAAGAAGCAGGGCCAGATCTACCAATGTCTTTACCAGGTATCATACAGGACACATTTTTCCTGACTGATACTGAACACAAGCTGCCCTCAAGCTGCTGCTCTCTCTCCACTCCTAATCCATCTAAGCAGCTCACTGCTGAAGGTACTACAGGGTAAAAGCACAGGTGACATGACAGCAGGCCTGTGAAGGTGTTTAGATACAGACTCACTGTCATAGTTACACTGCTGGAGGCAGGACACACAGAGACTGTGTAAAATCCCAGATGACTTCAGAAAGGTCAAGGTTCATGCAGTTGCCTGGATACTAACAAGCAAGACGAGCAACCTGTGAGTGCAGAAGGCAGCTGGGCCCCACACCAGCAGCGCTCCATTTCACCTCGTCAGGGCTGCTGTGCCCGGCCCCGTCCACATCCGATATGAGGACGTCCTGCGCTTCCTCCTTCACATCTGCCACACTTAGCTGGGGAGGTTTCTGGTCCATGCTGCAGCTGGCCACAGCCCTGCAGGGGGACGTCTGTGAGCAGAAAGAGAGCGATGAACATATTTTGAACATTCATTTAGAAGAATCATGATAGACAATGTATCTCTCTTGCAGCTTCAGGCTCAGAGCTCTCAGCTCTGCTTGGAATGATTCATCAAGATGAAGATCTGAAGCCCAAGGAAGCTTGTCCTGCCTAATGTGGCGCTGTGAGACTCTGCAGGATTGGACTTTGTCCCTATGATGCAAAGGTTGCCAGTGCAAATCATATCACTCTTGGGCCCTTCAGCAAGGCCCCTAATGCCAAAAACAGTTCTAGAGGCATTTGTTTGATGGCTACCAATAGCATATCTGAGAGACAGGATATGTGAAAACTACGGAATTCCATTATACTTGTTCAAATGGCAAATAAAGTCCAGTCCAATTATCATAGCTGGATGGACTTCTGAAGATGCAATCCTGCTAACTGGCATCCCTAAATAACCGGCATTGTTTGATTATGTGTGTGACCTGTCATGTGTGGGACCGGCACACGCTCCGTGCCCCGCGCCGCCTGTCATGTGTGGGACCGGCACACGCTCCGTGCCCCGCGCCGCCTGTCATGTGTGGGACACATTGTATGGAGGAGGACTTGGAACTCACTTCAGTTTTTCATAACATTAATTCACATTTACTTCAGGCTTAAGTTAGAGGCTCTGGTATAATAGGGCCTGTTGTTTGCAGTAATGTGGGTGTTTGATCTCAGCTTTTCAGAATGACACTGAATTATTTGTGAGTTGAAAAACACACAAATTTAATTTTGGAAATGACAACAGTCTACGTCTATTCCCCAGACAGCACCATCACTGCCTCCCTTGTGAGATTTGTCCCAATGTAATCAGGTTCACCACTGTACATGTGTCTCCGGCTGTTTTCTCTGGAGCCACCACTAAGTTACACTGCTTCAATTTTGGTGTGATTTGCCTCAAAAATTATGAAAAACTGAAGTGAGTTCCAAGTCCTCCTCCATACAATGTGTCTGTCAAGTTTGATGGAAAAAGACCCATCAAATACATTCTGAGTTTTCACACTAACAGGATACGCACACCAGACCCATCCCAAACCCTTACGTATTCCCATTCAGGGAATCCAACAATAACAAATCCAAAGTAACAAGGGAAGCTTTAATCAAACGTTCCAACTGACTGCCAATGGAGCTGCTCAAGAGGGAAGGATCTAAATCCTGAATCTTTCAGGCTGCAGATGATCGTGTCGAGGAATCTTGTGATCATACAACATTTGGCTGTGGGCGCGGTGAGAGCATGCATACACAGTGATATTCCACTAGACCAGGAGAGGGCAGATGTATTGCAACAAACACAAACAGAACAATGTAGTGAGACAGTAATGGCTTTTTATGAACACTTTTAAAGATGTTAGTCTCTGTTTTGGCGGAATTAAAGGAATATGACATACTGTGGCATTTTCAAGTACCAAATTATCATGAAAAAATTAACTGGGGCTGAATTTGATCATCATGATTTAAAAATGCAGGAACAGTGATGATGTTATAAATACCGTATACTATAATGTTTAGACAGTATAAATGATCTGGACAGTTAAAATGACATTGGCATATAAAGTGCATATGGAAAGTTTACAGACCCCTCAAGTTCTCCTTATTAAAGACTCATCTTAAAATGGATTAAATTCATATTTTTAAGAATAAGTCTGCACAAAATACTCCACAATGACAAAGCAAAAAACAGGTGTTTCAAATGTTTTGTTAATTTATTAAAAAACAAAAAAACCTGAAATATCCAATTTAAATAGGTATTCAGACCATTTGGAATGACACTTGCAACTAAGCTCTGTTGCATCCTACTTTTTTCAGTGGTCCTTGAGAAGCTTCTCCAACTTGATTGGGACTCTACCTGTGCCAAACTCAATTCTTTAGGCACAATTAAGAAAGGCACACACTTGCCTATGTACAGCCATGACCAAAAGTTTTCAGAATGACACAAATATTAATTCACAACGTCTGCTGCCTCAGTTTTTATGATGGCAATTTGCATATACTCCAGGATGTTATGAAGAGTGATCAGATGAATTGCAAAGTCCCTCTTTGCCATGAAAATTAACTTAATCCCAAAAAACCCATTTCCACTGCATTTCAGCCCTGCCACAAAAGGACCTGCTGACATCATTTCAGTGATTCTCTCATTAACACAGGTAAGAGTGTTAATGAGGACAAGGCTAGAGATCACTGTGTCATGCTGATTGAGTTAGAATAGCAGACAGGATGCTTTAATAGGAGGGTGGTGCTTGAAATCATTGTTCTTCCTCTGTTAATCATAGTTACCTGCAAAGAAATATGCGCTGTCATCATTGCTTTGTACAAAAAGGGCTTCACTGGCAAGGAAATTGCTGCTAGTGAGATTGCACCTAAATCAACCATTTATTGGATCATCAAGAACTTCAAGGAGAGGGGTTCATTGTTGTGAAGGAGGCTCCAGGGCACCCAAGAAAGTCCAGCAAGAGCCGGGACCGTCTCCTAAAGATGATTCATCTGTGGGATCGGGGCACCACCAGTGCAGAGCTCCCTCAGGAATGGCAGCAGGCAGGTGTGAGTGCATCTGCACGCACAGGGAGGCGAAGACGTTTGGAGGATGGCCTGGTGTCAAGAAGGGCAGCAAAGAAGCCACTTCTCTCCAAGAAAAACATCAGGGATAGACTGATATTCTGCAAAAGGTACAGGGATTGGCCTGCTGAGAACTGGGGTAAAGTCATTTTCTCTGATGAATCCCCTTTCCGATTGTTTGGGGCATCCGGGAAAAAAAATATTCCGGAGAAGAAACCATCAGTCCTGTGTCATGCCAACAGTAAAGTATCCTGAGACCATTCATGTGTGGAGTTGTTTCTCAGCCAAGGGAGTGGGCTCACTCACAATTTTGCCTAAGAACACAGCCATGAATAAAGAATGATACCAAAATATCCTCTGAGAACAACTTCTCCCAACCATCCAAGAATAGTTTGGTTACGAACAATGCCTTTTCCAGCATGATGGAGCACCGTGCCATAAGACAAAAGTGATAACTAAGTGGCTTGAGAACAAAACATTGACATTTTGGGTCCATGGCCAGAAAACTCTCCAGACCTCAATCCCGTTGAGAACTTGTGGTCAATCCTCAAGAGGCAGGTGGACAAACAAAAACCCACAAATTCTGACAAATTCCAAGCACTGATTATGCAAGAACGGGCTGCCATCAGTCAGGATTTGCCCCAGAAGTTGATTGACAGCATGCCGGGGCGAATTGCAGAGGTCTCGAAAAAGAAGGGCAACACTGCAAATAATGAATGTACTTAATGTAATTGTCAATAAAAGCCTTTGACACTTATGAAATGCTTGTAATTATAATTCGGTATACCACAGAAACATCTGACAAAAAGATATACAAACACTGAACCAGCAACCTTTGTGAAAACCAATCATTCTCAAAACTTTTGGCCACGCCTGAAAAGGAGGACAATGCCATGTGGAGACGTATTCAGCACCGATTCTCCGCACCCCGAAAGGATCACTGACGCTAAATTATTTACTTCTCTCTCGATTGTCTTTCGGCTGTTAGACGCAAGAATCAATAAACCTGCCACAGCCCACCCCAAAAAGTTTAACTGGACGCTGATGGTCATGCCAATTTAAATCTTATGCAGGTGCCGCCGCGGCGCTATAAAGTGGTTTTCAAACCGATTGGTTTTGCGCTGCGCACTGTTTTGGCGCATTGTCGCACGACCAATACAAACAAGGCACCGAAGTGGGCACAGAAATCGAAATGGAAGAGAAACTTATACTGGTGTCTGAGTACCAGGAGCTGAATGACACAAGCTTACCATCTTTAGCATACGAAATATACATGGTCGTGACTGACCGCGAAATGACAGGAGAAGGTTCTGAACCACGCCTGCTTTTGGCGTTCGACCCCGCGGCGAACGCAGCGCGCGCCTCCTTCGGTCTTAAAGCCCCTCGTGCGGAATGATACTGAAATATTGATTCTTTCAATCTGAATGTTTAACTTTGAGAATCGATTCTATCGTTAAAATATCGATTTGGTAACTGGTAATTTAAACATTGATATTGGCTATTTTAACAACAGGACATGAAATCCTACCAGGTGGGGCTGCGCGTAACGGGGAAGGAAGGAAGGAAGGAAGGAAGGGGGACTTTCAGTGGCTCGGCGACACCCCCTCTCCTGTCTTCCCCCGCTCGGCAAATTTCAGTCCAGTTCTTCGTCATTTAATACAACAGTACAACGAGACTTAGACTTAGGGAGTTAGTAACTCCCGAGACGGTTCAAACAAAGGACTAAAACGGAATATGTAAACACAAATAACCAATAATTATGTGCAAAATTACAAATGTGATAAATAACACGTAGTGGTATGGCGGGGGGAATATGTGTTATAAAGCTTTTATTCACCCCCGCAGATTTAATCCAACCAATATATAATTTTGGCTTAGAACCCCGAAAAGGTTTTGGCTGGCACCGAATATCGGCACACCAACCTTGGTATTATTTGGTATCGCCTGTCCATAATACTCACTCTACAGCTCTTATTCCTCCCTATTCCTCCGCTGCCAAGCAGAACTAAACGCCTAGACGTAGCGACCATAACAACGTATTACGTAATACGTTAAACGTCGTGCTGTCCGTTTACTGTAGCCGTGCTTGGCCACGCCCAATTTATACTGAATATATTTTTTCTGCCGGACCTGACGTTGGATTTCGCGTCACAGAAACTCGTTGTTTTAATGTATCATATCAAATATTAGTGAAAATCAACCGCAACCGAATAATTCCATATATTTCAATTCCTATTTACCTTGCGCCATCTATGAGAATTTTAGTAATAGCATACATTTATTTAAATTGGTCAATGAATTTAAACCTTAAAAATCTCAAATAACTGAGCCAGATGATAATAATGAACAAAAGCTTGAACGTTGTTTAAAGTATATATGCAACAATTAGGCGTATATGTTGTTAAAACACCAAACATATAAACAAATGTGAAGTTAATAACCCATCGTTTCAGATTCATTCGCATAACAGATACATGTTCTTTCAGTTGAAAGAGCCTAAATAGCCCACATAGTGCGATTATGTGTGTGACCTGTGACGGACTGGCACCTTGCCTAGGATCGGCTCCGGCCTCCCTACACCTGCTACACTGAGGAGGATAAGCGGCAGGAAGAGGAACGGAATGCTAAATGAACACACACCGGCACCGTCAATCCACATAGAATAAGCCCAGATTTTAGCCTAAACATTTTTTCAAACACTTATTCAATGGAGATTCTAAGGTAGCAGGCAGACAATTTTGTCTTTAATAATGAGTGAATTTAGTAGCTACAAGGACAAAAAATATTAAAATGCTTCCCGAATTGATGGTAATTTAATACACACGAAAAGACAACGTTTAGGGTGGTTTTGCTTATTCTGGCGGTCCAGACTAGTGCCTGTGTTTTCTGTTCACGACCTCGTGCATAGCACTAGTGCCCCTGTAGTAGTGATGTGCGATGCCACTGATTTCCTCTCCGATCCGATACCAAGTAAAATTCAGGCTGGTATCGACACTACTGATCCGATACCGATAGTGTGTACAAAAATGTTTGGAAAATCAAAATAAAAAGTATTGTATTTCAAATTATAGCTTCATAATGAATACAGGACATCAGACTACTTGCTCTTATTGTTTAATTATGAAGAATTACCATAACCAACATTTCAACAAAAACATTGAAATTTCACACTTTTCCTCATTCACAGGTTTTTGTTAAGGAACAGCAGCATATTTACAGTTTTCCCTTTGTCTGCTCCGTTTTTTGCTCACAACCTCTCCTGCCTTTGAAAAGATTCTCTCTGCAGGTACAGAAGAAGCAACGATTCCCAGGTATCTCACTGCAAGTCTGCTTAGGGCTGGGAAGGTTTGTTCATGCTCTTGCCACCAAACCAGTGGATCCTTATCTCGGGGAATCTGAGTATTTCAATGAGTACACCTGAATGTCAAAATATGTCCATATCCCTCCTTTTGTTACAGCTGTACCTGATGGTGCAGGACTCTGGCTAAACCCTGAGGTAGAAGGCCCTGAGGTAGAAGGCCCTGAGGTAGAAGGCCCTGAGGTAGAAGGCCCTGAGGTAGAAGGCCCTGAGGTAGAAGGCCCTGAGGTAGAAGGCCC